ATTGGTAAAAAGTAAACACTCACTTGCTAAAATCTCACTTCCACAAAATATAACAAAAATCTGATGAAAATTATAAAAATTAGTTATACTTTACATTTTAAAAATATAAAAAATAAAAACAGTTGAAGACAATATTGTCCCAATTCTTACAATGTTATTTTATTTTAAAGTAGATTTAAAATAAAGTGCTAAATCTTTTAAAATAGGATAATAAAAAAAAACAAAAGACCAAAACATCATTATTAAACAACTTTTAAAAATAATCTCAAATTTACATTAGTAGAAAGATTGCTATCTGATTCTTTTCTTTTGAAATACCAGCAAGCAAGAGGATTATAAATAAAGAATTACATTGCAAAGATCTTTCAAAAGTTCAAAATACATATTGCACATAACTTGAAGCTAACTTGCCACAATCTGTGAATTCGCCTTTGAACAGAAGCTTCAACTCTTCAAAACAAAACCGGTGAATTGTCGGGTCTTCCCAGCAGCACTTCCTGTTGCAATGCGTCTGTACCTAACCTATGTTGGCTTTGGGGAACTCATCTACAACCTCTTCCCTAAACATCATTTCCATATATGAATCTCCTAGCAGGAGATTCATACTGGTTTCATACAATCCCCCAAATTCTCCTTAGGTCAGAGGAGGTCCTCAGTTCATGGGTCTAACTGGGAAAGAATTCAAAGCCATGTCTAGGCAAAGTAAAATTTAGTTAATTAGTGACGGTGCTCCTGGTCCAGGTGGGCAATGTCTATGGAAGAACTGTACTCACCCAATGGCAAGAGAGTTCTGGCTTAATTGGAGCCAGGGCAGCTGCTCACTCTGTCCCCACTGGGACAGACCATGCCCACCTTTCCAGAGGAGGAGGGAGCTTTATTCCTTATTTGGCAGAGTCACTATCATGGCCATTACCCAACCCATCCTTTTTTTTTTTCCTTGAATATTTATCATCATTCACTTTGGCCACCTTATTCTGAAGTACATTTTAAAAAGATATTTTCTCTCTTTCTCTCTCTCTCTCTCTTTTTTTAAAGATTTATTTATTTATTCATACCGAACTGGGGTACAGGCTGGAGGTGCAGAGGTGGTGAGAAGATTCACCAGAGACAGAGTGGGGAGCAGGACAGGCAGACTGACGAAGTACACTGCTGAGGGGAGCAGCGGGTGGGTCAGAAGCGGTCTGCTGTGCCATGTGGGTCAACCCCTTTGGTGAGATTGTACTCATGTTAGGTCACTTGCAGCTAGCTTAGTGCTGCGTTCCACCCTGTTGCACCACCAGGGTGGGCCTGATATTTTCCCTTTAATACAAAATTTAACACTTCTCTTTACCTTAGACCTGGGACCCCCAGACCCGGAACCCCCTTAGACATGGGAGAGCAGATCTCTTCCTAACATCTCCATTTAAGATACAGAAGCACATCAAAGGCTGCCCTCTCCTCTGCACACCACTCACACTTCCTTCCTCACAGGGGTTGAGGTCTGGTGTTAACTGACAGAGCTGCTCAATAAATTATGGGTTAAATAAATAAAGGAATTTAAAGGCGACAAGTTTCATTTGCAAGTGCAAAATATATCTGCAGGCAAACCTCCGTTTTCCACGGAGATAGCCTGCACAGGCCCAGGACCTCACTCTCAGCACAGGAAGGAAACGGGCCATTTCCTCGTTCATAGGCAGGAATGCGCTGAGTGTCCATCAAGCCAATGTCCCGTCTCCCACCTGTTTCTCTGTCCATGCACTTTGATCCCAAGTCCTGTGAATCTGACCCTCTGGGGTGTCTCTTGCTGTCTCTGGCTGTGGAAGTAGCTCAGGAGGCACCAATTTTTTGAGAACAGAGAGCTGGTCTGACTGAAAGCAGAGCTGGTTCACACAGTGGCAGGTTCACGACTGATGAGAGACTTCATGGCTTCCAGCAAGCTACGTCTGCTTCTGCAGAGCACAACTGCGTCCCTGGAGTTCTTGCTATCTTGTAATCAGGCTGTGGGTAAATTTCAATCTCCAGTTTTGGGGCAGGAGCCATCCTCTACTCTTCATATATGTGAGGCCACATCCCCACAGCAGCAGAATGTCTATCCCAAGCAGCGTCAACAGGCACATTCTCATTCACATTGCCAGGGATAACTACACGTTCTGTTGGATGGTTGGGATTTCTCAGTTCTGGGTACATTTAGAAACTCTTAACTCTGAAGGTGCATCAGGAAACATAGCTAATTATGGAAGTAGGTCAGGGCTCTTTATTTTTCTTGACATTGAAGATGAGGAAATCTGAGCATCATCTTCCATGGGGTGAGATGTGAGGAAGCACATGGCTGTTTAAACTACATTCCCAAAGGCAAATGACTGTGACGTCTTTGGTGTCTCAGAGGGCAGGGTGTGGTCTTTGTCCACCTGTTGGGTAGATATAAAGATGCAGAGCACTGTAGAAAGTCATGGGAGCCGCGGGACACCATCAGCCCAGAGGCTCATCGCCAAGATGACCCCACCTGAACCTCCATACTGCTCACAATAGTCATTCCCACATTAGAGAAACAGTTCTGTAAGGTCAACCCACATTTGTCTTGCTGGAAAATAATGAGCTGAACTATTCTTCTAGTAAAACCCTGGAAACAACCTTTCCTACTATTGTATAAGCATGTTACCAATCGTCATCTTTTTAGATCTGGTTGCGAGAGGAGCCAGCAATCTACCTTCTTTACCAAGTGTAATCTTTGAAAGAACAAGCTTTAAAACTTACTGCATTCATCTGGCCACGGGGAGCACACAAATCAGATGCTACATGCTGGACCGTGGAATCTCCCTCCCACCTCCAGCTCAGATCCAGTTAGAGTCCCCTCCCCTGCACCCCTCCACCCAGTTCAGCCTCTGCTGGGCTTGTTGCCCATGACTTCAGGCAGGTCTGGCTGCCTTTCCCTTCCTTCCTGCAAGAACCCCTCTCCTACTCTAGATGGAGTTTCCACCCCTCTCTTAAAGCGTGACGCTCTCCTAGTCCATATATTCCCGTGTAACCCTCAGCAAAATGAGGGCACGCTGGGGTGCCTTTTAATACAGGAAATATGTGATCCCAAAAGCCCAAGAAATTTTAAGCTGAGTTTAACTGGAAAAGGAATAAGGCAACTAAGATGAAGCTCAAGTCTTAAACCTCTTACCTTTTTGGGTATTTGCACTATGGAATAAAGTGTATTTGGTGAATTTCCCTCTGGAACAGTATTCTATTAAAAAGAAAAGAAAAGAAAAGAAATCATCAGCTTTTCCTGGGTCACACAGTCAAACAGATGCCTAGAATTAGATAGGGGAAAGCAGAGTGGGATGGGGATGCTGAGGGGTGGAGAAGATTCTGGAACAGTAACAGGCAGTGGAGGTGCTTGTCAGTGGCTTATATAATAATTAACAGTTTTTCTTTCAAGAAGCAATTGATTTGTATGGAAACATTTTACTTAAAGAAATTAAAAATATATAAAATATAGGAGTCCCATGAGCAGTGATCCTCTTAAAGTCATTAAGGATGATTTGAAAGAATACTGTTAATGTTGCAAATAAACTTTTCATCAGCCCAAAGAGCCATTGCGTCAGATCAGTCAGGATGAATAATGCAATAAAACAAGCCAAAGCAACAGCAAAAGCTCCTTCCAGGCTGGAGAAGTTTATTCCTGAACAAGATGGCCCCAGCATCTCCCCACAGGGTCCTAAGCAGGAGGATGGTAAGTGGTCAGTCCTACAAACACTAGTATATGGTGCATGGAGCAGGCACCCCGTGAGGAAGGGAGGGCTCTCAGGACACCCCTGTGAGGAGAGAGGCCAATGTCTTCTCCTGATAGGCTGTAGTAAGATAGGACAATATGACCTGACCAGAGACACCAAAAGTGGGTAAAAATGGAATTCCGAGGCTCCAAAGTGTCATTATTTCTTCCTTAAATGGGGCCATGACCTCTCAGGAGCTGGTCCAAGCTGGGCAAGATGATTGTTGCCATGGAGCCCTTTGGCATCACTTACCTGGTTCATCTCTCCAAACTGCCTCTTATTACTTTCTTTTATATTTTATTAAAAATTTTTACGCTTTGATGATTTCCTCATCAAAGAATTTCCCAGAATCATCCTGTGTTCATTCACTTCAGCTTAGTGCCCTGTGCTTAGGAAGTTTGAGTGTGGTTTAGAGTCACTGTGTGCCTGAGTTCTCCTGATGGCTCCTTGTGTTGCCTGAGAGGGAAAAGCATTTCTACAGACAGCCTTCTGACACCTCAACTCAGACAACCACTCTTCCCTGTCCATCATCCTGTGCAGAAGGCCAACTGGCCTGGTGAGTGGCTGATGTGAATGGTGGGGTTCCTGGAAGGTTGGGTCACAGATGAGTGTGTAATTACTGGTGGGATCAGAATGAGGGCTACAGAGGCCACTGACTCCTTCATAAAGAGCATCCATAGACACTTAGGGTCTGGGGGAGACCTATGTGTGTTGGGTTTTAGGGATTATACATCCTCCTCTTTCATGTTGCCTAACCCATGAAAAAAATCTCAAATGGAACAAGGAAGGTGTCAACCAGGAGGCCAGGCCCCAGGAAGATGGGAAAAGACTCACAGGGGGGTAAGCGATCATGTCATATTCTGAGGTTGCTCCAGATGTGTGGTCATGGTTAGGAACTATACGATCAATCCCCTTCTTCTCTTCAGTAGACCCTGAAAGTAGGTTAAGCGAGAATTAGAACTGGCCCCTCCGTTCAGTCACCATTCCCACCAGCCTGCCACCCCCTCTGGGTTCCCACTTAGGTTGATGACCATATTCATTTTCTTGTAACTGAAAGGCTTTCTCAGTAATGGGACTTTCACTACTAAACAAGGAAAATTCCAGAACAAACTAATCTCATTACTTCTCTTTTATTTCTCTAAACTGAAAGAGAGAATAGAAATGGGCCAGAGTGTTTCTAAAGAGGTAAGGAAGATCTCAAAGTGTAAAGATGCATAGGCACATTGCCCCTCACACATGGAAGTGTCAGTGGGCTGAGTGGGATCACATGGGCTGAGTGGGATCACATAGTCTCAGTGTCAGAGGAAAAATCTGCATGTTTTAGGGAAATAGAACAAGGGTGTGGCAGGTAGAGACTCAGAGAAAGCCTTCTGGGAGGAATGTGTCTTAGACTGAGGTGGAGGGTAAAGGGGAGTCTCTGAATTTGAACCAATGGAGGGGGCTGTGGTAAGGTTCGGGCTCTGATGGGATGGTGATGAATGGACAGATGAAGAAAGCTGGGATGCCACTGTATCCCAAGAGAGGGGAGCAGTCTCAGCAGTGTGAGGTCTGTCACAGGAGGGTCACACCAGCAAGTTTACTGAGGGAAGAAGAGGGGCAGGAGGAGCCTAGCCTTGGGAGAGATGTCAGGGATCTTAGTGTAAGGGAAACAAGTCATGAAGGTAGTTGGTCTCTCCTTGAAGACAGAGACTGTGGCCTCTTATTTTTGTATCCTTAGTGCCTAGTACTATGCCTGGCCCACCACCCAAAGTGCTTGTGGGATAAATGTTCCATTTATCTTTAACTTCTCCCTCATTTATTCAACAAGCACATTGGGGTGATGGCACATGGGTGAAGTGGTGGTGGGAAGTTCATGGGGATTACAACTGAGATGAAAAAATGCACAAAATGAACAATAATGTAGAAAATATTTTAAAAAACCAAATAGAACATGCTTTACCTTTTCTTCTTTGTTGATCTCTAATGTAAATAATGAGTATTAGGAGTACCAGTACCAAGGTAACAGCTATGATCCCCGCCAGGAGATACACATAGTATGGTAGCTCACCAACAGCACCTTTAAAGAGAGAATGGGTGTGAGGGACAGGCGAGGAGGAGTCAACTAGGAAGAATGACCCCACTTTGGAGCCAATGCCACCTCCTCTCTGTCCTCCTAGGAACCAATGACCCTCCCCTCAATTTCACACCGGTCTGTCCCCACCAGGACCAGGAGCTGATGAGTATACACAGAGGTTCCTGGAGGGAGGGGAGAGACAGTTACCTCCACAGAGCTCCCGGGCAGTGATGGGGTCTGAAGAACTGTTGCTCACAGGGTTCCTGGCCACGCACTTAAAGGTCATGTTCTGTTTTACCAGCTCTGAGGGCATGGGGAGGACAGAGCCATTGTGGAACTCATTGGTTTCCTGTCCCACAAACACCCAGCTGTAAGTCACATTCTTATCTTCCTGCTCTATGGAGCACGTCAGGTTGGTGATACAGGTGCCATTCTCACTGCTCTGCTTTTCTTGGGAGATCTTCGGCTTTGACAGGTGTGCTGAAAGGAGACATGGACACGTGAGACTATGCCCCTAGTCTCCTTTCTTTGAATTATTCCTATAGCCCTCAGACCTGAATCTCCCTGGGGTGCTGAAAAGAGAAAGCAGCAGTCCAGAACTCCCCTTCTTATCTGGAAAGAGAGCTCTCTAGGTCAGCTTGTTCATAGCTTTATGAAAAACAACAGTGACAGAAAGAACAACATGAAATAGCTACTGTTACTAAGCATACTCATGAGGCAAGCACTGTGCTAGTGAATTTTCCTAAATGAGATATATACATATAAATTTATTTATTTATTTATTTATTCATACAGAACTGCGGTACAAGCCAGAGGGCAGGGGGCGATGAGAGGATTCCCCAGAGACAGAGTGGGGAGCAGAACAGGCAGATGGACGAAGTACACAGCTGAGGGGAGCAGCGGGTGGGTTAGGAGAGGTCTGCAGTGCCATGTGGATCACCTCCAGGGTGGAGAGCAAACTCACACTGAAGCGGCTGCAGCTCACTTGCAGTGCTGCGACCTAACCTGTTGCACCACCAAGGAGGGCCAATTTCATCAGGGAGTTTCCTTGAAGAGACTTTCACTTTTCTCCAAGGAGATGATAGTATCTGAGGCACACTAGTCCCTTCCTCTGCTTTGTCCTCACTCTTCTCCTTCATAGGATCGGTAATTGTTGGTAATTATTTCATTTCTCAGTAATGCAACAGTCACCTAATTTCTCTACTGTGGGTTTAAACTGTTAAGATTGCTGATTAAATGTAGTTTGCGCTTTTCCTCTTCCCTAGCCAGTTTGCCCACAGAAGGTGCCTTCTGTTCCTTTCAGCTGGCACCATGTGGGGGACATAACTGGATTAAGGGGCAGGACGCACCTCTACAGTAAACCTGGAGGCCCCTTCCTGCTCTCGTGGTAATGCAGCCTTGTGAGTGAGGCAGTTTCTCTTATAGGTGGTTGAATCATTATTTTGTAAGCTCAAATTCCCTGAATGAGACCCAAAGTCTAGACTTGGGGAGAAGTATTTCTCATACCTGAGTTTGCTAGAAACAAAAAGCTGATATTATAGCACTAAGAAGCTAAAGTCACTTCAGCATGAGTTTGATCCCCACCTGCCCCGGAGGTGACCACATGGTGTGGCAGACCTCTCCTGACCCGCCCGCTGCTCCCCTCAGCCGTGTACTTCGTCAATCTGCCTGTTCTGCTTCCCACTCTGTCTCTTGTGAATCCTCTCATCGCCCCCTGCCCTCTGGCTTATACCCCAGTTCTGTATGCATAAATAAATCTTTTTTTTAAAAAAAGCTGACATTTTTATTTCCCTTATGATTCTTATGTCTATGTCTCAGCTGGTTACGCTCTTTAGGGGAAGACATGTATCCAGTAATCTTTCCAAGGTACAATCACTTTCCTCCCTATTACAGATATGGAAACTAAATTTCAAAGTTATCAAGAAACTTGCTTAATGCTGAAATTAATAAGTAGAGAGGCCAACATTTGACTTGTGTGATTCCCCACCTCCTACTGCTCGCCTTTTGCCTCATGCTACTACTTCTTACAGAATCTGAGAGGTGAAGGAATCTCGGGGTCAGCTATATCTTTTCTTCATCCCCACAGGATTTCTCTGTTTCACATTCTTGCGCATTTTTCAGCATGTCCTTAAACATCTCTAACACCACCATTCCTTTTCAATCATCCATGAAGAAACTGATTCTTACCATAGACTTGCAGTGTGTATTTCTGGGTGGAGACTTTCTGGCCTGGGTGGTGTATCTCCACGGAATAGGAACCCGAGTCATTCTTCCTCAGATTGTCGAGCTTCAAGTAGTAGCTTCTATCCAAGAGGCTCACCCTTGTTTTATGGCGTGGGTTCACAATGACTTTGTCTTCTGGCTCTTGAGACTCAATGGTGATGACAGAACTTCCATTGAAGTACCAGAAAATGTTTTCAATCTGACTTTCTACGCTGTTCAGAGGGAAAATCACAGACCCACCTAAAGCTCCGCTCATCTCCTTCAGGGCTCCAGAGGCTGCTGGCTCTGCAGACACAGGGAAACAGAAATAAACTCAATTTCCTGCTTTGCCACCAATTATTCACCCTCAGTCAAACCCAACATGTTCCTGGTAGACCCTTTGGAGACATAGACAAAGTCAGTGAGGTCAGAACTCTGTCTGACTGAAGGGACTGTAGGGGAGTTCACTCTTTTCCCAGAGACCTCTGACTTGAAGTTCAAGTCCTGAGGTAAACCACAAGGCCCACCTTGCCTAGTCTCTGTGGTGAGCAAGAGGGGGCCCCTACTTAGGACTCCCTGATTTTGCTTGGGAGAGCTGATTTAATGAGATGAAGAAGGTAGCAGCTTTTTTGCCCTGGGGGGAGTGGTCAGTGACTGGGAGGTGATGTAGGAGTTCCCAATAGTTTGAAGCTAGCAGTTTGAGGATGATTTATCTTTCAATTATATAATAGATAGGACGGATTCACGGTCGTTCCCAATGTCATTCAGTGAATTCCAACAGCCTTTTTTGAGTGTAAAGAAGTGTGAGTGCCTGGATATTGTCAAATTCCCTGGCTAACCCCTGGTGCTTGGCTCAGATGATCAGGGTTTGCAGTAGAACTTTACTTCCCCAAGAAATTTTTGTTTCATCACAAAAATTCACCTCAAAAATCAACCTATAGGGCCCTCCCTGGTGGCACAGCGGGTTAAAGCACTGCACTAAGAAGCTGAAACCACTTCCCCATGAGTTCGATTCCCGCCTGCCCCGGAGGTGACCACATGGCGTGGCAGACCTCTCCTGGCCCGCCCGCTGCTCCCCTCAGCAGTGTATTTCATCGATCTGCCTGTTCTGCTCCCCACTCTGTTTCTGGTGAAGTTTTTCGCCGCCCCTGCACCTCTGGCCTGTACCCCAGTTCTGTATGTACAAATAAATAAATAAATCTTTAAAAAAAAAAATCAACCTATAACCAACCATCACTAGTAATATGACTTTGGGCAAAACCCAAACAGAATGGCTGCTGAAAACGTTTCCAGAAGTGGTTGACTGAATATTTCCAGTGACCAGTTGTGGGAATGAGTCAGAAGATTGGAAGAGTAGTGAATTGTGGAGGAATTTTGGTAAAGACCAACAACTTAAAAACACCTACTGTGAGCCTTCCCTGATGGCGCAGTGTTTTAAAACACAGCACTAAGAAGCTAAAGCCACTTCAGCATGAATTCGATCCCCCAACCCCAAGTGATTCACATGGCACGGCAGACCTCTCCTGACCAGCCCGCTGCTCCCTCAGCAGTGTACTTCATCAGTCGGCCTGTTCTGCTCCCCACTCTGCCTCTGGTGAATCCTGTCACCACCCTGCACCTCTGTCCTGTACCCCAGTTCTGTATGCACAAATAAATAAATCTTTAAAATAAAAACCTACTGTGTTTTGACCCTTTTAAACTCTTGATGCTTACAAGGATTTAAAAAATATCTTCATCTTACATATCAGGTTAGTATGGCTACTAGTTAAAGCAATCTTGAAAATAAGGAATTTTATCTTTTTTACACAGGGATCCAAATCTGGACTGCTGCCTGTTTTTGTAAATAAAATTTTATTAGAAACAGTTGTGCTTTTTCCTCTACATATTGTCTCTCCATGACTGATTTTTCTCTATAAGGCTGAATTGAGTACCTACTATTGAGGTCATATAGCCTGTAAAACTGAAAATATTTAACACCTGGCACCTCTGAGCAAAAGTTTGCTAACTCTTGGTTTGATGAGAAAACTGTGATTCAAAAAGCCCCAAGTAACTTGTTCAAGACCAGACTTGGGGTGATGAGCTGAGGGCTTAGCCCACTGCCAGTCCAGCTCTAGCTCCTGACCCTTTCACTGTGGCTCAGTGTGGAGGCCTCTGGCATGTGCACCAGCTCTGGACTTTTCTGCTTCCCTCAGGAGCTCAGGTGTCAGCTCTAAAATCTTGATCCTCAAAGAAATCAGTTGTTCCTTCTTGGTGTTGGGTGGCCTTCCCTCAAACACCAGGGGCTCTGCCGGTGCCCGCTAAGGCAACTGGATGCCACCAAATGTGGGCCTTGAATACAGTTTGGAATCATGATCTCCTTTCCTTAGATTATCTCCCAAGGCACAGGCTTCTCTCCCTAAGTGACTGCCCCAGGGGATGGTTTCTGTTTTGACTATTTTGCCTCCTCTCCCCACCACAATTTATCAGGCAGTGCATATAAAGTGGACTCTAATGCATTTACCAAGTTAACCTGTCACATAATCGGATTTATCAGAGTTATTCTCTCTGCTCTCTAATACCAAGCAAGGCAAGATGGGTTAGCTTGCTCTCTTTGATCATTTCAAGGGGTTTCAAAACAGTCCTAGTAAACATTACAAAATCAATCTCATTTTGAAATTCTGATGGATGAATTAATACAGTCATTATTTTACTTTAACCTCAGGGGTGGAAGAGTTGAATGTTTCCCATAAAATAATGTAGGAGGAGCTGTGGACTTGGTGCCCCCTCACCACGTGAGGTTTGGGGGAGATATTTAGGGTGGGAGGCGAGAAAAGGATGTGGCTTAGTGCTTTAGTAGAATTTACTAAATTCTTTTTTCACTGTTTCCACCCATGGTGCTATATTCCATGGCTTAGACATAGTGGGGGGGGCATTTAAGATAATGTGTCCAAATTCACTGTTCTTGTTAGAAGAAAATCGGAGACGGACACAGTGCAATTGCAGACACGCATCTAGGTGGAGCCATTTTTCTATATTAACTGTAACTTTGGAGAGGGAAGAGGGACCATGAAAGAAGAAGCCAGCACCAAAGCTAGGTGTGTTTTAGAGAACAGGGGCAGCGTTGGAGGGTCTTAGCCAGTTTTATTTCCTTTTCCCAGAGCCACTGGGGAACAGAATCAGAAACAAAACATTTCCCAGTTCTGTGTCCCAGATGTGAGGTGCTGAGGCTATAACATAACTGGAATGGAATGGGGGGGGGGAGGGGCGATGCCACAGCCATGATTGCTGCTCTCATGGAGTTGGGTACACTCAGGACACCTGCCAGGGCCAGGCGGCCACACAAGGCTGTGCAGAGTGAGGAAAGGGGGCTGCTGCCCCTCCCCGCCACCAGCCGAGCAGCAGGCCCCTCCCTTGCCTGAGCCCCAGCTTACTTTTGTCCTCATGTTTCTGTTTGTGCTTTATCCTCCTTCTCCTACTTCAATCTTATTCAGGGCTTTCAAAAGTCTCCTTCAAAGACCCTCTCTGAGGAAGCCTCTATCTCTTTCTCATACCCACACCCTGGAAATCCAACACTAATGTCATTTCATCTTCCATTTTGAATTCTCCAGAAGATCTTCCCCTGGGTGTGGACTGCACACACCAGTGAACGAGCCCGTGACTGGCCTACAGGCGTTATGCTCCAGACACTGTTATGGGGTCTGGGGTCTCCTCCTGGGCCGCGTGGAATGGTGTAAATGCCCCCTAACACTAATTGCAGCAAGGGCCACTTGTGTCACTCTGTGGCTTGCAACTGGTTTAAAAGGCCATTTTCTCCCTTAGTCCTCAGTGCGACTGCAGAGAGAGGCCGAGCTCCGCTGGAAAGCAAGACCTCTGAGGTCCGAGATGCTGTGTGGCCTTCCCTAGACCCCAGAGGCAGAAGGAGGCTGACAACTATTTAGTCTTACTGTGCTGAATTTCAGATCCTCAGTCTCAGGAGAAAACAGTAACTTTCACTTCTTAGGATTTGGGAGAGGGGAAAGGATAAATGCAGATCTGAAATTATTTTGAGAAGCACAAAGGGAGATCCCCTACATTTTTTAAAATGGTTTCCAAGCAAAGTAAGCTTTCCCTTGGTGTCGGGAACTGGTAACTGGCTGATTCACAGCCAGATAGCACAGCCAATCACCAGAAGGGGTGATTGGCCCACCGCCTCTTGCCAGAAGGGGTGTCTCCCAGAGAACATTCCTGCCAACCTGCCTCGGGGCAAAGGGAGTTGGGCCAGAGACCCCCTGTCCCTGTGCTGGCCCAGACTCATTCCTGGCATCAGCTCTAAGACACTCTCCACAACAGAAAGTTAGAACAGCTCCCCCGCAGCCACCTCTGGCTTGGCACCTCCTCCCCCCAGCCTGTGCCCCAGCAGAGTTATACAGGTAAGTAGAGGAAGTAACCAGGTTCGGAAGGAATTCCAGTGTAGTCAAAACCCAGGCAGGTTACCAGGAGGAGACTGGTGGGCCAAGAGGACACACAGCCCACCGCCTCTGGCCAGCCTGGACACTGGGGCCTCTGTCAGAATAAACCCTCGTGTCACTGCCCTCCTTGAGTGGAGGGCCAGAGCATCTCAGAGCTGGTAGGATGCTTAGGGACCGCTTAGTCCAGTTCACTTCACAGAAGGGGGGTCAGTGCCCCAAGGGCTGTGGAGAGGTGTCCCCAGTCAGAGGTGGCCAGCCTTCAGAAGCAGGGCTTCCAGTCCATCACCTCATCTCTCAGGAATTCTCCGTGTACCTCCTCATTTGTTTTTTAAAATTTTCCTTTCATTAAATGTCTCATCAATGTCACTGTGTCATTAAATTCTCACACAGTCTCTGAAGGGATAGACAGTTGGACCATTCTCCAAAGGAAAACACACAGCACCTGCTGCTCTGTGGTGCCTCTGAGTCTGGCCAGGTGGTTCCATGTGGCATCGTGGAAATGAAGTGACCTCTGCCCTTGGTCATTTCTAGTCTCCATCTAGGTCTCATGTCCCTGGAAAGGATCTCAACTAGCAATTCTGGGGAAGATTCAACCCGGACACATATTAACTAAGCATCTGTTCAGTGCCAGATGTGGTGTTTGGCAGCTGGTGTGAGGAAGAGAGAACTGGCTTTGGGACTCAGGCTCTGCTCTCCCTCCTGTATCAGATGTTCAAGCCAATTAGCCTTGCCAAAGACACGCCCTCCTTGAGCCAAGGCTCCCTCATCAGGGATAGTAATTTCCAGTCTGATAGATTTGTGAGATTGTGCAAAAAGCCCACCTTGCATGTGGTGGGGGTGTAACAAGAGG